AGATTGTGAAGCGTAAATGGCAATGGAAATTGCCAACATTAGGCCCGATTCACACTAATATTTTGTCAATGTTATATTAATAATAAAAAAACAAAACCGACTTCCAAACAAATTACACTAAAAACAAAATATTCTCAAAAAAAAACAGTACACTAAAAAGTAACAAATAACTCCTTGAGAAAATTTTTTAAAAAACATACAGACGACTTGAGTATCTCCTTCTTTTGGGAAGTCGGTCAAAAAGTGCTATTAACTTGCACAGATAAAGCATCTGAAATAATTCAAACTAAATTTTTACTATGGCTGTGTTTTATTAACTTGGCAAAATATAAAAATATTGAAATAATGCTAAGAATAAAAGCCAATTAAACAGCATTGCCTGTCCACACGTGAGTTCTGCAAACCACAGCTTGTGAATCTGTATTTAATTGACGTTAGGTGGCTCTGTTCTAATTTATTTGCACTACCCATACAAGTCCCGGGTTCGAGCCGGCCGTATTGATGTCGACCACTTATTAATCTAACGGTCAAAGCAATTATGTAAATGTAGCATTTAAAATCAGATTAAAAATAACTGCGACATGTATTAGAATACAAGGATTATATTTAGGACTATAAGAAATCTACACTAGGCTCCTTTAGTGGCCATTTAATTACTCTGAGTGCGGCAGTTAGACTAAACTCCTAAACTCTTAAAAAACATCTAGATGTTTGTAGAAAAAATTGAGATAGTGCGTCGTTTTAAAAAAGTAGTAATATTTATTTAAGCAGGAACAAGACTTTTTATATTATAATTTATAAGTACAATGTGATTGTATTTAGAAAGTCAAGTCGATTGTCTTTTTAATTAGCGTGCCATTGAATTTAAGTAATGGCCAGTGAGGATGCACGTAGATCTTGATTTTAAAACACGCCCTTATTTGTCCTGCACGAGTCACTATTTCAATGTAGAAAGAACTTTTACTCGTGACTGCTCGCATTCTGTCTGAATAAAAAGATTTATAAATAATAAAATATGCATCAAATCGGCGCCATATTGTGACGTCATGACAAAGCACACCGCAATAATGATAGACTATAAAGAATGTAAATTTTATAACACCCTTATAAGATAAAACGCGCAGTAACAAGGGAGGTGTGCGTTCTCCGACTAGCACGGAAGGTAATGACAGGAAACGGTTTCACTGGCCACCGACATAGGCGTTATTAATGGTCGTAGAGAAACCTCCTTGAATTAGGCCGCTGACATTATCTATGGCAGTTACTAGATTTGTTTTCATTAACATTGACCATATCAATATAAGGACCTGTTTTATTTAAGAATAAATACAAGACTAAAGCTAGAATAAAGGCCGTTTAGTTGATTTTTAATTCTAAAAGGTAATAGCAATTTATTTATCGACTTTATTAAAAAGGAACACAACTGATTAATGTAACAGGGATTTTCCCGCTTCGTTTTGCAGTTGGCGAGATTGTGACATGTGTCATAATTGCGTAGTTCCCGCCAGTGACATTATACCTTATCTATGGCTTGTCAATCTAAATATTCTTTTTTTAAGCGATCCAAAGTGTTTGTTGTTTTCAGCCACTTGTTATCTACAGATGTTTTATCTTACACTTTATCTCGTACTTGTGTCATTTCACGTGTCATTTATCTGTGGTTAGTTTCAGCCAGTTGCAAATGAATTGTATTGTTATAGAGACAAGTTTTCTTTTTTTTCTGGTGTATAATGATGTTGCAGTGTGACACTGACCCCGTAAAGGTAAAGCTATTTTTAGTTTAAACAAATATTTAACGCAAATAATTGTCATGAAAAAATGAATTAAAAGTCCTAGCAAACAACGCATACAGTCTAGGGAATTGCTAGTATTAACAACATACAAGAAAAGACTACAACATACTGTGAACATTTTCTCATTAGAATTTATTTTGTATTTACTTGCAAAGGAGCGTTGTCATAAAATTGAGCACTAAAGTGGTTTGTGGTTAAAGTGCTAAAACTTCCTTTGTTTATCTCAAGACTGTGTGTTTTGATTTTAACACTTTTAGTACCAGTAAAGCATTTAAACCAATATTGTCTAAATTATAAAAATAATTAAAAGCAAATTGATTTTTTTTATCTGAATTGCTTTTCTTGTATTAAGAATATGACAAATGTGACTTCAACGTTTACAAGAAATGTATAACCACGAAAATCCAACACTTTAATACCACGATAAGATAAAACGTAAGCGAAAATCCTAAACTGTCAACGAATACCGCTGCAACAGAAGCTAACTACTCAATATTAAGATATTAAAATTTATTTCAGAAAACGATTTAACTAAATGGTTGCAAAACACCGTAACATGCGTATAAAGTAACGTTCACGCATTTGTTCTTATACTTATATTGATGTTTAAAATCAGTCTGGTGTTTTTAAGATTCTTTAGACAAACTTAGACGATTATCTTCTATTATTGGTTCTAATTCGTTAAAGTTTTATTATTAGTTTCCTAAAAAATGTTTTGACTTGACACTTTAGGTTTAAAGTGTAGTTCTATAATTGTGCTTTTTTATGCTCTATAACCCATTAATGGAAACAAGCTCGATGACTAAATGTTATGTAAGGTCGAGAAGGAGTCTTATAGAAAGTGTCCACACGTCGCCGTGGGTTGTGACTGGCGATGCGGTGCAGTGAAGCGGCAATATTTGAGAATTACGTCAATGTTGGGTTAGAAAGCAACGCAAGTCCGCAGTCTTCGCAGAATGCCTTTGTCACTGCTCTTGTAACCATGATTTCATGTTTTAGGAGAATGTAGAATGAACAAAGTACAAAGTACATGTAGAATGGCTTTGTAAAAAAATTACTTTGCGATATAATTGTGTCGCAATGTTTTTAAGTTTTTGTTACCGTTTTGCAAAAATGTTTATGTTTTAATATAATCTAATAAACTTTAATTAAGTAAAATTTACCAGTTCCACAATAAATTTTTAATTATTATCATTTTAGTTTTTAAAAATCTAAATTCTTGGTTACACTATTTTATACAGATGCAACATGACTTTTGTCGAACGTAACAGCTGAATGTGCCATAGACATTTAAAAACGCCTTTGTTAGTTTTTTATTGCCGTATGAGGTAACAGTTTGGAAGGCACACGTGACTTCCGTGCGGATGGGCCCTGTTGTATAACGCTTCGTTTGTACGCGCCCTTAGTACAGGCCATTGTGTTTACTG